GTTGTTTGGTACATGAAATCCAGGAGGGGTGACCCTAAAGAGACAGTAACCGGATGACTGGTTCCTTGAGGGTGTGGCAGGGAGGGTGCAGAGGAAGTGGGGAGCTAATAACAAGGAGTACAAGAAAAGTAGAAAATGTTCTAAAATTGATTTGTTAACGATTGGACACCACTGCTTGATATGATTGGATGATTGAATTGCCTATTTGGATGGTGTCCCAATAAAACTGTTTATAAAAAAATTTAAAAAGCTTTGTACTAAAAAAAAATTTTAATAAACGTTTTAGAGCCTTACATTTACTGCCATCCCTTTTCATTTAAAGAAATGTAGGTGAAATCTGGTCTAGGAAGCTAGATGTTGAGGGGACTGCTTTCTCAAACATGGTTTCCCTGGTGTTTTCCGCTGTTGGCAGGGTGCAGTCTATCGTTCTCTCCTAGTGGGAGACACTTGAATTTTCCTCCTATAAAGGGTTTGTCTTGATTTTATTTTTCTGCTTTCACTAGTTTTCCTTTATATTCAAGGGCAAAACTTTTGTTGAATGTTGTTTCAAAAACATTAAGCATAATTTTCAAAGAGTGAAGACAAATCAGGTAATTTAAATGGTTTCCCATTGCTTCGATTATTTTTTTTTATTCTTCCAATCACCATCTAAATTACTTGCACGCTCAATTCTTATAACTAGGAAAGAAAGACCACAATGAGCTTCACTCATAGGTTTCAAGAGCATGAGGGACGTGTTGAAAGGAAACTGTTTTCCATATATATATGATCACAAGTATTTAAAATACACTAGTTAAAGGTGAAAGTCTGTGGGAGATAGTCAAATGATGATTACTGTTTTTTTCCTCTTATGTTGGGGATTTTCTGAACCTGTCTTATCACTACTATCAGAACAGCAGAAAACATCGCACTGCCACAGAGTGTACATTGACTCATAGAAACAGAATAGGGGGATAGAACAGAAGTCCTCCCCAGGGTTTCTGAGGCGAGCAATCTTTATAGGAGCAGAGAGCAGCTGGTGGCTTGAACTGCCCACCTTGCAATTCACAATCCAATGCTTGACGCACTGCGCCACTAAAAGTCCTTATAATCTGAAAGGTAGTTTTCTTGTTAAAATACTGGGAAAACAAAATTCTAACAAGTAAAGATTTGAGTTGACAAGGGAGGGCGTTTAGACTGGAATTGGGTCTTTTGAAACATAGTATCCCTTATAGAAACATGATATAATATAGAAACTATGGAAGTGAAAACTTAAGTCACCAAGGTGGAACTACACCGAGGTCATCACTTGCTTGTTTTGATAACAGGACTGCTGTGGTTGTCGCTGGGTGCCGCGGGGTCAGCTCCGACCCATAGCGACCCTGTGTACAATGGAGAAACACTGCCCCCTCCTCACAATCGCCCCTATGCCGGAGCCCGTCAATGCAGCCACTGTGGCGATCCATTTCATCCAGGGTCTTCCTCTTTTTTGCCGCCCGTCCACTTTATCAAACACGATGTCCTTCTGCAGGGACTGGTCTCTCCTGACAAAATGTCCAAAGTATGTAAGACAAAACCTTGCCATTCTTACCTCAAAGGAATGCTCTAGCCTCTCTCCTTCCAGTCCGGTCGGTCTGTCCTTTCAACAGTCCACGGTACTTTCAATGTTCGTCTCCAGCACCACAGTTCACATGCATCCATTCTTCCTGATCCAAGGTCCCACTGTCGCATGCACGTAATGCAATGGAGACTACCGTGGCTGAGTCAGGCGCACCTTAGTCTTCAAAGTAACATCCTTGTTCTTCAATACTCTAAAGGGGTTTTGTGCAGCAGATTTG